CGTCGCCAGCCTCCCAAAGCCCCTAAAGAGCCCTGCAGCTGGACTGTGCCAACAAGCATCAAACTTATGAGCCTGACTCTCTTACGCTGCCGATGCCGCTGTCACTGCCGCTGCTGCTGCTTCGGCAGCTGATGCTGCCGCAACGATAGCAGACCTCTAAGTTCTGCCGCCTTCCATGTGGCACTGGTTGTTCTGGTGTCAGTTTGAACATTTCTGGTAAAGTGTTCGGTTCTTTATTTGGCTGTCGAGCGCAGTGCGCCCGCACTCTATCCGTTTGTTGTCTCTGTCTCTTTCTCTCGCTCTGTTTGTCTCCATATTGCCACTGACTCGCACCCACAGTGCGATTTGTTATTGTTGTGGCAAGAAAAACCGCCTAAAAACGTGGAGCAAGCCTTGTTGCTGCCAATATTCGAGGACAGCCCCGCAGGAAAACATCGGTGCGTATACGTATTTATTCTTTTAGCAACGGTTCATCGATTCACGGCAGAGCGAGTCCTGCCTCGAACCTTCGTTGCTGCTGCTGCTGCTGCTCTGACGACGAAGGTGGAGGCGAAGCAGACACTGTAGGTCAGTGTTATAACGATTCTCACAGTTTGTGTCTGTCTGTCTATCCGTCTGTGGCATACTTTTGTGCCGCACGATTTTGCATTCCACCTTGCCAGCATCATTCACAGGATTCGCCCTTTATTGTGTGGTGACTGTATGTGTTTTTGCCTCTCCCTCACTCTGTTTCTTTTTCTCTGTGAGTGTGAGTGAACGTTTGCAATTTCCGCCTTTGGCTTTGTGTCAAGTCACTTGGCAGAGATTGTTGCTGCCTGCCGCCTGTCCGCCTGTACCTTTTAGCCTTATTTACATGTGAGTGCGTCCAGAAGATACGAGTTGCTTGTTGAGTTGCTCCCTCAAAAGGGAGACATTCCGCCTTGTGTACAGCTCCTCCGTCTTCCTCTGCCTTCTGCTTGCTCCTACTTCCTGCGCTCTGCTAATTGTAATGTTGAACATTCCTCAATTTGCATGTGAAATAGATGTTGAATGAATGCTGAATGAATGCTACATTCTTAGAAGAAGGTATCCCTACGCATTCTCAAGTCCAGTCTGTGCATATCAATGCCGTTAGGCTCTCTGCTTCCCAGCCTGATGCTGCTTTGGAATCCCTGGGGGGGCAATGGGGCAATAATTTTGCTGTTCAATTAGGTTTTGTTGCAACAACGAGTCAAGTTTTGCCCTCTTTTACGACAGCTATAAACATAAAAGTTATCCCCAGTGCCACACCACACACACACACACACACACACACACACACACACACGTTCGCACACAACAGAACAATAAAATACAATCTCACAGCCTCCCTTTGTGTATTTGTGTGTGGCATAATAAGTTTTGATTTGGTTTTATTCGGAGGCTTTCATATTTACCTTCTTGACACCTAAATGGACACAGAGCACGCATAGAGCGGAGAGACAGACAGAGAGAAGAAAGGCTCGGCAAAGAGGAATGAAAATGAAAATGTTCAAATCGGAAAAGCCTCAACGTTTTTTTGTTTATTTATCATTCACTTTGGCTTTGGCTTTGCTGGAAAAGATAAAGAAAGCAGAGAAGGGTCCTTTTATTCTCGGCATTCTTGTCTTTCGAATCCAATCTTGAAGTAAAAGCTGCTTGTCATCAACATAATGACGGCACACACAGACAAACTGAAGAAGTTTTCCGATCTACCTCACCCTCTCTGCCTGTGTGTGCGTTCGTGTTTTTGTTGTTGTTTCTGACCTGCCTTTTTTGGAGACTTTTGGTGCGGGTGCTCCAATCTCTATAGCCTTTGCCCTGTCATTCCTTTCATGCCACTTGGCGTATGCTTGTTCTGGCACTCTGATCGACATGTGTATTGCCTGCTTTTTGGGCGGGAAATCAAAGGATGGATGTCTTTCTCTTCTGACTGCGCACTTTAGCTCTGGCTGCCATCTGCCATTGCAAAAACTGCCACATGTCAGAGTTTTACAGAGAGAGAGAGAGAGAGAGAGAGGATTTTGCAATGCGAAATGCAATTGACACGTTAAATGAGCATTTCGTAATCGAATCAGAGCTGTCGAGCTCTTTTTTGCGGCTCTTTCAACTGTAAATTTAATTTTAAGCTCCAGGCACACACCAAAAAAATTGGTTGAATATTAAAATAAAGCAATTATTGTCATAGGGATTCCAGGATCTATTGTGTCTCGAGTGTAGTTTTTTTTTGGAGCCCATAAAACCAGTGTTAGTGGCAGGCATATTTTTCTGATTGGCTTCCGTTCAGCGCACAGCAAACTGTTCGCCTATTCAATAATTTGCAAATATTTATGCTGAATATTCTACATGTAGATTGTTTTCGTGTGCTATAAAAAAATGTGTGTGTTGGCAAATAAACCAAATGATAAATAAAAATCCAATCGAATTTATTTTTAATGTTTTGTTCTCTTTTTTGTGTACCCTACAATCGCAGAGAGTAACTGCGGGGTGTGCAAAGGAAGATGTATGACTATTTGTCCCAATAGTTGGGTATCCCAACGTCGAAACGGTTTAAAAACCCAAAATTCTCCATGGTTCTCTCTATGGAATGCTGATAAAAATGCGCGTTCAGGCGATCACACACGAAAACACACACCAAAACTGTCAATATTTGTATTGATTTATAGCCAGGGCTTGGCTGCATACGACTCTGGGTAGGGGTTGGGTGTGGGCTTGGATGATTGTGGCAGAGAACTATTTTGAATGCCACAATGGACACAATTTGTCACCGCTGAAAGGGAAATGGGGAAAGATAAACTACTGCCAGGGTACCCCAACTGCAATTCAATTTAACGTTTTGGCAAATTGTTGCCATTTTAAAATATGAAACAAGCGAAGCGCAACGAGAGATGGAGATGGCCAAAAATGAAAACTAGAAATGCAAAAACATTTTCCCGCAATGAATATTTTGCCAGTTTTCCCAGCCATAAAATCGTTGCCGCAGACAGACACAGCAGAGAGACGGAGTGCAGCGTGCGCCCGAAAATGGTTTTGCGCCCCAAAAGAGAGGCAATTTTTCAATTATAAAAACAAAAAGCAGCAATATGAGCTGGGGAAAAAGCAGGAAAACATATCAATATTAGATGTGTAGAGTCCTGTCAAAGGAAAGCCTCCCTCCCGAGCAGCAAGCCTGTGTGCGGGTCGTACAATGAAGAGGCCACAAGATGAATGGAAAACTTGCTCCTTGTGGCACGGTAACTTTTGAGTTGATCTCCAGCGGTTATTCACACTTCTGGGCCGAGAAAAGCCGAGAAAGGCAGATTGGCAGACTGGCAAATTGTTTAGTGTTTGTGAGGAGGCACAACCGCAGACCCAAAATGAAAGACGTCATCACGGCGGACTTGACAGGCCGCCAAAAACTTAATGTCAGCAGAGCAGCAAAATCAGCAGGATCTTCAGCAAGAAGAGTCGATGGCAGGAGCCAGAGACAGAGCGAAGGAAGGCATGACGAGGCATCAGAGTCAGAGGAGAGCAGCCAAAGCTCCTTTTGACAACTTTGACTTGACGCCAACTTTGGGACGCATTCACGGGACGGCTGTTAATCTGCAAAAAAAAAAATAGGAGATGCTTGCAAAAGGCGATTACCTAATCCGGTTAGCAGTTTGTATCGAGTGGGGAGGGGGGAAAAGTGCATTAAAACAATATTGTTTGGCCCCAACTTTGGCCTCGCGTTTGGCTTATAAAAGGAGAAGGATTGGACTTCAAAAGGGAATCATCAGAGGAGCGAGAAACGTTGGTATAATACAGTTTATGAAGTGGAAGAGATGTGCTAATGATAAAAGTCTCTAAAAATGGGAATAAGAGTGGAATTTATTGTTGTAAGCGAGAATGTTTGGATAGGCAAAGCAAATCTCATTAAAATGTATTTCTCTGAGTGGAAAAGGACAAGAAGACAGGCAGGAAATCTGTAGCTGTAGTAATTTACTAGGCTCATGTATTAAAAATAGAGATAGGAATTTTGTGGATACCGACGGGTGATCTGATCATGGACATTGCCTTTCCCCATTCGTGTGAGTGGCTGGCACTCATCGTAAAGTCTTCATCAATTCCCACTTAACCGAAAGTAACCCAACAAAAGGAAGGGAAGTCCCACTGGCTTAATGAGGCGCAGCAGGATGAACACCACCACCAGCCCCCTGTAAAACCCTCCCATACCGCTGTCGTTTCTGTTTTTTATGTTTGCCCATAAAATGCGGACAACTCCTAGTCCAGTGGACGTGGAGTGTGAATGGTGAGGGTACCATTAATTATGCAATGTCCGGACGGGGCCGAAAAAAAAAGCACAGAGAAACTCGGCGACTTTTTGCCTCTTGGACAGGTCGTAAAGGGAAAACAGAGGAGGGGTGTGGCAGAAGTAGAGGGAGTTGGCACACAATTTGCATTCCCTATTGATTATCCAGTGCATCATTAAAAATGCATTTAACACTGACGGCTGTTGCGCCTGTTCCGACTACAACAGCTCCTCCTGCTGGTATAAGAATTGTTCTTCATTAATTGTTTTATGCGTTGGCCGTTCCATTGTGGACCATGAGCCATGACCACATCAGTGACCACGGACCAGGACCATTACCATTGCCATTACCATGTTCACGGACTCGGACTCAGTCACGGAACTCTTGCGGTCACTCGGTGATGGTTTGCATCCGTTGGCAGGCAGCCTGCGCCACCATGCAACCTGCCTTCTGTTCCTGCTTCCAAAAGTGGCATTCCTCTGACTCCACCTCATACTCAGAGCACTCGAGTGTTGCAAGGGTCCGCCAACTTTTCGGACTTTCCCCTCTAATTAATGAAATACAAATATTTGCATTTGCCTCCTCAAAAGGAGCGGAAAAGTTAACGTAAATTAAAAAAGTTGTGCTCTTTCCTCGCGCAGGGCGAGTGCTCCTCCTCCTCTTTTGCTCCTCTTCAAAATATTATTGTTTGAAAACCCACTCAATTTATTTGGACATTTTCTATATTTGCAGAAATCTGTGAAAGCAACGCCGGCAGAGCCATCCGCTCTATCAGGAGGAGCAGCATCCCAGGCGGCTTCGGCTCCCAGAGATGCCATTTATATCGACGATGATAGCATTGAGGGCTCTGGTGGACGTGGAGGGGTAAGTTTTAAGTCCACCACATATACACACCGCATATATACGCATACATATAAATTAGTTAATTAAATTTGCATTCTACCCGAAAGTTTTCCATGTTAATTCCGTAGTTCCATGGCCAACGGGAAATATCTTGCCACTTTGCATATCGTAAGGGTCCACTCAGCTACTCTTAAATTCCGTTTTCTACCTCTCTCTCGCTCTCAGACTTAAACATAACTTTTATGTGCACTTTTAAGTTCATTTTTGGTTTATTTTTACATTGTCTGACATTTTTCTTATAGTTTTTTGTTCCTTTTCTTTTTTGGGGTTTAACTTTTGAAGATGTATTTTACTTTCCCATAAAAAAGTGCTGCTGTTGCAGTATGAGTCAAAAGCTTAAGCAGAAAGTAGAATATTGTATAGCTAGTGCCCAAAGGGTACGCTGAGGTCTATTCTACGGATGTCCATTGATGTGTACTACAGCCCGGAGGCAGCGTTTTCTAGAGAGGAAGATGTTCAGCCAGTGTCAGCTAGGGTTCTTCAGGACCAGACACTTATCACCATACAGAAGCTCCACTCCTCCTTGCAGTTATTATTGTGGCTGCGCACAAGTTATTGCCACCAGATTCTCACAGGACGTGTGTCCAAAGTAGAGCTCGAAGTTCCAAGACGTGCAACTGCAATGCAATTAAGACAATCTTTCATCTAAAGGTATTCTCTCGTAGAATGGATCTCTGCTCTTCTACGATTACAGGTTCCATCCACACGCCCACATATTTCACGAGTGCGAAACGCACTGTACTTGCAGAGCTTACACATTCCGCTTGTCCAGTTTTTGTGGTTCACAGGGGAATATAAAAAAGTTCGGAGAACGCGTACTCGCATCTGCCAGGTGGTAGGAGGAAAGCGGCATGTGCTATGCAAAATATGTGTGCCACAAGCTTGTTATATAATCAAAACTGTGTGTTGAAAAACTCATTTGTTTATGCGCATGAAATGTTAATGTTCAACACCTTTTTTGCTCACATGTATGCTGCGCATGAATCCATGCGTGGGCTCGAAAGGGAAGGTGTAAGTGTGTGTGTGAGGTGTGTGTGTGGCATGTGAGCGAAATTTGTTGGAAAGTTTTTTGACAGCGCTGCGCTTACACACTCACGCGTGCAGCGAAACAGTCACTGCCAGACATACACACACACAGCGACAAAGGACGCGTCAATTGTTAGGCAAATACTTTTGATTTGCTTTTAGCACACATGCCACATACACCTCCCACTGTGCCCCTCCTCTCTTTGGTCATACTACGACTCCTTCTCTTCTCTAGCATGCTGCCACTCCCACCTTCCGCTCTTCTGAACTTCATAGGGGGGGAAAAACTAATTAAAATGCGTTGCGGCTGCTGCTGCTGCTGCTGCTGCCAACCCAAAAAAATATAACAAAAACGCAGAAATAAACATAGAAAAAGTTTAATTAAATTCTTTGAGTTCTTTTTCTTTTTTTTTGTTTGGTTCTATACCCTAGCAAAAAGGGTATGTGAGGGTGTTTGAAGAGAGATTGTTCTTTACGACCCTATGGAGTATTCGATTGGGTCTCGCAACCACCAGCATAAGGAAAGCTTATACTGTGGCGGTGGGATGTTGTACTTCCATTTATGATAAACTGCGAATAGCTTTGAGTTTTATATGAATTTAAGTCAAAGTTGCTCTAAAATCTAATCGGCTCCATAGCTGATTAGTGACGAATAGATTTTTCCAAGGTAACCAAAGTCTCGGCATGGCTTCCACTTCGATTGTGCCCTTTGTTTTACTTGACGTTTCTTGGTTTTCGATTTCTTCTCTATTGCTGCGTGGATTTAATTAAACATTTTTTGCCCCCATGTTCTCTCATGGGGGAGAGCAAAAAAGGACAGAAGTAGGGTGGGAGAAAGTCAACGAGGACATATTTAAATAGAAAATTGGATGCGAAAAGCGAAACTTTTTCGCGGAATTCAATCACGGGGTCGCATACTTTATCGAGTAACTGTGACAAGATCAACAAGCGGACAACGTTCTATTGGCTTTTCGTATTAATTTTGCATGTCCGTGGGCATAGCAGAGGAGGAGTGAAGGAGAAGGAACAGAGGGAGCAAAAACCAGAGGGGCTGTGGGTCTAAATTGACATTCCGGTGGACGGTTTAGCTGGGATTTTCAGGGTGGTAAAAAAAAGAGGGGAATAATAAATAAAATCGCTCCAAGCGAGATTTTGTTGTATTTCTTTTTTTTGCACTGCAGACTGTCGTCTGTCATCTTTTTCTCTCCCTCTCTCTGTATGTGTCTCTGTCTGTCTTTTGCAATGTGGCATTTTCTAATTTCCCCTTTCCCACTGCCCAAACCCTTTCCGTTCCGCTCTGTTCCGCTTTTTGCACCATTTCCGCTGCGGTGGTACTGGCCAAGGCCTGGTCTTGGCATGTGCTGTGAATGTCCTTCGTCCTCCGTCCTTCTGGCTCCCATTGCTCCCTTTGCCTCCACCTCATGCCCGAACGAATGTGTTGGCATTTTCATGTTTTTATGCAACTGACAAACGTGGAGACGTGTCTCTCATGTGCTGAATGTTCTTTTATGCTTTCCCGAAAAAAGCAAACAAACAAAAGAAGGATTGCATTACCCTGCAGGATTTTGGGTAACCCAACAAAATGCAATTTATTATGCGCTCCGTTGATCTTTTGGGGCAACTACTCAACGAATCACGACCGAGTCTTTAAAGTGATTAGGCCACAAAGTCTTGATGGATCTCTGTACACATCTCTCCTTTGCATAGCCTTAATTCGGGTGTTCATTATTGTATTATTAATGGATATATTCAAGGAGTATTTCAGCTTTGTTTCATTCGCTCAATTATGATTAATTCTTTCATGATTATTCACTCAAAGTTGTGCGAATAATGTGCCACTCCAGTGGGGGTCTCTGGGTTAATCAACTTTGCATATGATTAATCTCTCTCTCTATGATTCGGCGTGATTGGGATTGAGAGTGGTTAAAGCCACGCAGTGGAAGCCTCTATTTTTGGGAGCAAGCTGTGAATCGTGGTAGTGGTGTTAAAGCCTGCCTCCTGTCTCCTTTAATTCTATTTTTGGGGGATAATGAGCTTTTGTTATGCGTACGCAAACATCTGCATCTGATGCTGACTTTTCCTGTTCTGCCTGTTCCCTGATGTTCCTCTACACACACTCTATGCTTCATGGGCTTTGTCGTTGTGGGCGGTTCGTTTGATTGTAATAAGCCGCATGCAACGCACGCAACACACGCAGCCAACAGCTCAGCACCATGGAGTGGAGTCGGGCATCTGCTCTTTGTAGAGAGGGAGGTGGTGAGGCTGGTGATGTTGCAGCAACGAGCTTGGTTGTAGGTCCTTGTTGATTAATAACGTGCACATGGCGCACGTGTTTTTGTGAATGGCTAAGAGAGGCAATGCCACTTCGCATGCCACACACACACAAAAAGACATCGAAGCGAGAGTAAGCCGCTGCATTGGTATGCGCAAGGCACATTCAATTGAAAGGTATGGCTGCTCCACAGAGTTCGTTCCATCATCCCATATCCAATATACCCTGCATATTTGTGCTGCAGCGGGAGACAGGAAGTGGCAGTGAGAGAGCTGTGTGCATTGACAATAAATTAACATCGATTGACATGGTAATGGGTGGAGTGTGGTGTGCTGCAAGAGAGGGACTTAGGTAGAGTGTGTTGCCAGGCCCAAAAAGATTGTCCGAGTATCTGCCTGAAAATGTGTTATGTAAACAGGACCGTCCTGCCACTTACCCGCCCTTGATGGCACTGAAATATGTCAGCCGCTTTGATGATGTGATTGCAATGATGCTCTGCTCTGCGTGTGTGTGTGTGTGGCATTGCGAAATACTCTGCTCATATGTTGCCTGTCCAGGATTCCATTATGTCGTACCTACCTTCTGCCTGCATCCCACGTACACTCCCGAGTTTCTGTTCTTAAGTACATGCATATAATTTCCAATGCTGTGCGCAAGCTGTCAATATCAGTTGCTTACATGGGAATTTATTGGGCGACAGCTCCTACATAATACATAATACATGGCCCACACACACACACACAGCATACAGCATACAGCATCCAGCACGACTGTCACGCGTGGAGGTTCTTAACCGATAGAACCATTGAAATTTATTGAGATTGTGAATGGTTAACGAACGCCCCAGAAGGAAGCACACAGCCCATCATCCATCTCTCCCCCTTCGTGTACACATGTAGCTCTAGAAAAATCAGACTTTATAATGTCACTGTTGAGAATCAGAGAAGGAGTGGGATTGGGATGGGAATTTAGGAGGACACGGACAGACATGCAGAAATCCCTTCCATTCATTACTCAATGTCGCTACTGGTGCTGGTTCTAGCTCTGTAGAAATGATGCTGCATTATTTCACATAACATAATTCCAACAGTAATCCAAATGAGTCTGTCCCTCACAAACAGAAAGAGCGAACCCACAAACAACATGAGTAATCCGAGGCCATTGGGGCCAAAAACTGTTTTTTTTCGACTGGCTCTCATAGCTCCCTTTTTTATGAGACATCTGCTGCCTGTCTGTCCGTTTGTTTGGTTGCCTCTTTATGTGGCACGTTGGTAGAGGGAAAAAGACTCGGCATTTCTATTGAATTAAACACCCAAAGAACGGGCTCCTTCTGCTTGGCTTTTAGGGGATACCCTCGCTAGGTGGGATTAATGGAATTTACAGATAATCCACAGATGTAAGATAATTCGTTGAACGAGAAGAGAATCTGTGGAACATTCCCAAAGAATAAACAAAAGATAATTCGAGAAAACTCACTTCAAGTCTCCCTCTTTCGCTCAAATTCTCACCATGCCCCTACTTGACTGTGCTCTAATCGTTTGTTATTTCCATTATAATTGGCATTAAAGGCACACATAGTAAGTGACATATTAAATGGGAATAGATATTCCTACCCCTAAGGCTCCCCTTTCAGTATGTTCTCCACTCTGCCAGAGAGTATTTG